TGTCTTTGGATTAGACGACAGTTTTCGATTCCAAAAACATCCCACGGTTGGTTTCTCGCGAGGCTCTTGGCCTGTAGCCAGCCAGGCATGTTTCTTCGTCGGCAGCTGGTCACCACGCCAGCGGCGACGGGCTCCAGGCTTTCATCGCATCGGGCGGCGTGGCCAGCAACATCGCCCGCAGCATGGCCTGGTTGAGGCTCTTCTCGAGCTCCTGAATCTCGGTGGCGGCCAAGGCGATGGCTGCCCGCTGGCCCGCCACGGCCTGCCCCGCCTCGGCGGCGGCCTTGTTTTGCTGATTCGACGTCCTCCTTCTTCTCCTTGAGCGTTCTATCGGGCTCCATCTTCTTGTGCTTGACGTGGTCCAGGTTTGCGCCCAAGCAGTTCACCTCGGCCTGCGGACCACAAATATCTATGCGGTGCTGCTCGAGGTCCGCCCGGTCCTCTGCGAGCTGGGCGACGTCGATGTCGCCTTTGCGGAGCGCCGGGATGGTCGTCGCGAGGCTCGCGAACTTGTTGCCCAGTTCCGCCACCGCTGGGTCATGGACAGGGTCGGTTTCATCCCTGAAGGTTGCCCTCGGTGGTGGCGCGTCGCTGCCGTAGCCCACCTCTGGCGGACCCATGTACAGCTTCCCGAGGGTTGCGGCGAGGTTGGCCATGCCCGCTTCGAGTCGCCGAAGACGATAGTTTCCCTCATTTCGATTTCACCTTCATCCGGCAGTGGCGAGGCGTCCTGGCTTGCCCATGGGCCAACCGCAGCATGTTCTAAGAACCGCTGGTAGTTTGCACGACATGTTGGTCGACCATTTCTGGCTGAGGCTGCCTTGTTTTAACTTATCGGCTCCACGTTTCAAGAACATGGCTGTTGTTTTTTAAACACGTTCGGGGTTCTAGCATGTCGTGGTAGGTCGGTAGTAATGCTGGGACGGTCGGTCACTGCTCAACTCCACTTGCCACTTGGCGTGGGCGAGAAAGTGGCCGCGTCGCTGTGGGCGTCCTCTTGACCGAGCCTTCCTGACCACTGGCCTTGGCGCATCCCGTCCTCAGAAGTACACCACTCTGGCCCAGAGCTCTTCGGTGCGGCACCCAGGGCATTCCCAGTGAGGCCCCTCGGACCCCAGCAGCACCTTCCTGCCGGGCCCGGCAGGAGGGGGCGTTGTCTCGGCGCCCTCGTCGTGGTGCTCGCCGTGGTGGCCCGCCAGGAGCCTGCGGGCTTGCGCCTCCCGGGTCCCTGGCTTCGGCTACGGGCCCCGAGTCCCCAGTCCAAGGCTTAAGTCGGGACAGTCCCTCTACAGGAGGAATATGACAAAAGAGTAAAAAATAGTCAGGGGGTCATGGTTTTTTGTTTTGTTTTTTGTTTTAAGCATTTTTTGCATTTTGAGGCATTTTCTGATTATTTGTTTCGCCCAAAATCCGCCTTCCCGAACTAATACCAAGTCCCGGCTCCTTGGTCCTAGGTCCCCTGTGCCGTGTTTCGGTTTTGAGTCCCGGGTTCCCAGGTCCCCAGGTCCTGGGTCTCGGGTTTCGGCTTCGAGTCACTGGTCCTCAGTCTCGGGGGCCCCCAAAACGGCGTGGGGACCACACCGTGCGGTGAGTCGGTGTGGAATCGGGGTCACCGCACAGTTTTGGGACTCGGGTCGTTCTCCGAGGACGTCTCGGGCGACGGGCATCCGAGGTCCCCAAGCCGTGCGTTGACGCACCGTGCGGTGAGGCCTTGGGGGATTCTGAGGTCACCGCACGGTCCGTCACCGCGCCGCTTCGGGACTCTTGGGAGGCCCTCGTCGCCACCGCTGGATTCGCCTCGAAATTTTGGTCAGAACGCACCCTGGGAGAGATCGGGGGAGGCGTGGTATTGGTACCTTTTGGTTTCCCCATTCTCAGAAGGCGGCGGGCTTTCTCAGGAACCCTCGCGCCTTCTGAGATGTTCTCTGTGTCTTCGGGGAAGGCTCGGGAAACTCTCCTGGAGGCCAGGGGGCGTCCGAGCTTTCTGATAAGGCCCGTCCCTTTTCACTTCCCCCCCGGCGCGCCGCCGACCAACAGTCCGAGCGCAAAATGCCTGGGAGGAGGGATCGTGTATCCCCTGCATGACAGCCTCAAAACGATTGCCTTTCGTATGGAAGTTGTGATATAGAGGTCGTATACATCCGAGGCCATTGTTTCCGCCTGTCAGGCGTCGTCGTCGTCGTCGTCGTCCACAGCGGGCCTACGCAGTACCCCCAACACCCCCCCCAACGGCAACCGCAGTGCGTTGTCGTCGTCGTCGCCGTTACAGAGGGCCTACGCAGCATCCCCATGCGACATCCGCATTGCGTTGTCGTCGTCGTCGCAGTCGTAGTCGTAGTCGTAGTCGTGGTCGTGGTCGTCGTCGCAGTCGTAGTCGTAGTCGTAGTCGTGGTCGTGGTCGTCGTCCTCGTCCTCATCGTCGTTGTCGTGTCGTCGTCGTCGTCGTCAAACACAGCGGACCTGCGCAGCCCCCTTCATGTGGCATCCGCGCTGCGTTGTCGTCGTGTCGTCGTCGTCGTCGTCGTCGTCGTCCGTCGTCGTCGTCGTCCGTCGTCGTCGTCGTTGTCGTGTCGTCGTCGTCGTCAAATACAGCGGGCCTGCGCAGCCCCCTTCATGTGGCATCCGCACTGCGTTGTCGTCGTGTCGTCGTCGTCGTCGTCGTCGTCGTCGTCGTCGTCGTCGTCGTCGTCCGTCGTCGTCGTCGTCGTTGTCGTCGTTGGTCGTCATCGTCGTCATCGCCGTTGAATGCAACGGGCCTGCGCAGCCGCACCCCCATTGACTACAGCGGGCCTGCGCAGCCCCCCCCAATAGGTCATCCGCAGTGCGTCGTCGCCGTCGCCATCGCCGTCCGCGGTCCGTTTTCTTCGCCCCCGCCCTCGTCTTCGCCGGTCGTCGTCGCCGTCGTCGACTGCGCCGGTCGCGCTCGTCGTCGTCGTCGTCGTCCACGACTGCAGACACACCGCGACAAACGGGGGGAGGAGGAGTGCCCGCCTCGGGTGGGACGAACGGCTGGGGAAGGAATGGGGGTCTGCGAAACCTGCTGCGTGCAGCCGGTTTCGGGCGCTCCGCCGGAGGGCCAATCCTCGATGCATGGCTCGGGGGTGGACAGACCTCCTACTCTGACACGTCGATTAGTGAATTGTCCGTTTTCGGTTCTCCAGAAGGCGCCGCGGCCGTCATTGTCCAGGCTTGCGCCTGCCAGGTTTGGGCCTCAGGTCGTTTTCACTAAACCACGTTTTACTAAAGGGAGGTCTGTCCATTCCCGAATGGCAGGCGCATCGGTAGGACAAATACGAGCACGGAAAGTGCGGGGGCGAGGGCCGGCAACAGTTTTGTTTTCTCGTTTCGAACAGTTGTCGCCCTGGCTCGCGGACCCTGCTTTTGCCGCCTTGCCTCCCGCCCCCCCTCCCCCAGTCTGTGCTGTCTCTGTCGCCTTCTCGTTGGCTGCCGGGCGTCGGCGTTGATCACCGGCGCCGCCGCCGTTGATTTTCAATCTGGTTGGCGCCACCCCGCGATTCGCCCGAGCAGGGAAACTATAATTATTTTCAAACGCGCGCCCCCCACGGGTTTTTCAGACGCATGCTGACATTATGCAAAGCGTGATTTTTCCCACTCCAAAATGAATGGACGTCCTGGGGTCCCAAGGCCGGCTTTCTTGTCGAAGGTTTCTTGCGGTCGGGCCCCTATTGTAGATCGCTGGCGTATTGCAAGGGCATCGCCGATGCTGCGCGATCCTCGGTTGGCCCGTTTCGTAGGTATGTGGCGCGTGGAATGGATTTCCAGGACGGCGCCAAGAAGTCCAGGCCAGGGCGCCGCCGCTGCGCAGACGCACGGCGCGAGCCATACTGCTTGCAGGAAGCGTGTGTGCGATAGGTTCGTGCCTTGTCAGCGCGGCTGCAGCTCGCGTGCAAGGATGAGATCTTCGGGGGCGAAAAGCAAATTCGGGAATCCGAACCCGAGTTATCCCGGACCCGAGTTACCCCGGATAGCTCGGGCGTCCAGAGCCCCGAATCATCAGGGGTAACTCGGGTCAGGGCTAACTCGGGTTCCTTTTTTCGGGAATCCAAACCCGAGTTACCCCGGACCCGAGTTATCCCGGATAATTCGGGCGCCCAATTGGGTGCGTTCGTTAAACAGCTCCGCTTGTCGGGGTGATTTTTGGGGGGGTGTACGTTCCGCCCTCTAGAACAGCGATGTACTGTGGTCTGGCCCCCCAATCTCGGCATCCAGGGGCTCACGTCGGGCCTTCCGTGGCAAGTGTAACTCAGGAGGGGAAAAATCACACAGACACAATTAATCGTCGATCCCCCAGAAAATATCGGAAAATATGGGAATTGGGCGGGAAGACAAAAACCCAGAAAATATGGGGAATTATTTCATTTGTGTGTATTTATTTGTGTGTCCTGGGGCCCCTTCAGTAACGGGCCTTGGAGGTGGTGTCGGGAGGTTCGGGCCCAGGCCCACGCCGCGCGAACGCGCGGCGCTGGCCAGAGGTCTGTGTAAGAGGCACGCGTGTGCGTGTTGGATATGTGCGTGCCGCGCCGGCGCAGCAGCTGCCCGCGTTCGGGCGCTCAAGCCGGAAGGCCTCGACAGCTCAGCGGGCGGGGTCGAGGCGGGGATGGATCGGTCCTCGCCCCATCCCCGCCGCGGGGATGGGGCGAGGATCGATCCATTCAGCAGTGACCCAGAATGCTCTCAGAGAGTTCTGCGGCACCCGATATATCTTGCAGAACCGCCAGATCTCAGAGATTCTCGTTCGATCCTCATCCGAGCTTATCCTCGTCCTGGCGTCGTGTGAAGCTTCCTGGGGCTTTGACAGCCGAGATTGCATGGTGACAGAAAGCGGGGCCTGGGGAATCAATGTCCCAAGCGGTTGATAGATGTGTGTGTGTGTGTGTGAGTGTTGGCCTCGAGCTTGCTTCCCTGATCGACTTGGCATGGCTAGATCACGATCGACACTCGAGCGGGCCAGAGCTGCACGCCTTTCCCCTCGCCTGGAGGTGGTTCTCGAGGACGCGCGCAAGGGCGAGAAGGCCCCGTGGGGCACCTCCAACGGGAGCTGGGATCGACGCGCGCACAGCATCGCCGTCGTCGTCGGCCCCAACGAGGGAGGTTGGAGTAGGATGAGGAAGTGAATGGGATGGGGGTGACTGGGTGGCACCTTAAGAAGGCAGGGGGCGTCTTGGAGGGGGTCGGAAGACCAGAGGCGTCGGAAGCATCACTACTTTCATGCGATCGCGAGCATGGATTAACGGGGCGCGGATTAGCGACGGGTCCCGTTTCCATGGACCCGCGCATTTCCGCCGCCGAGCGAGGCGGCACCGGCCGCATTCTAGGACGTCACCTCTCCCGATCCATGGATTTGGCGACCGCGCGCCAAATCCACGGATCGCTAAACCATGTTTGCGCGCCCACCGATACTTGAGGGCACGCGGAGGTTCTCAGAAGCCCTTACCGGTCTCCGAGAAGGCAGCGCCCTTCGCCACACCCCCTTTTCTAGGCCTCCCAGAGGAGCCCGATTTCCCCCGCGCTGACGTCGGCGGTGCATCGCCGCCGAAGGCGCCGATGCATCACCGATGCATCGGCGATGTACCGGCGATGTGGCGCGATGCTCCGACCCTATTTGCTCGGACCCCATCTAGGAGGCCTTTACATCTGGGCGCACCCCACAAGAGAGATTCGAGAAGTAATCGTCCTGCGCAGCCAGGACGGGGTCAGTTCCAGCATAATTGGCCCTTTTCTGAAGCCAGGGAGTCCCAAGGAGGAGGATGAGGATGCGTAAGTCGGTGAGGCGAACGAGTGAGAGAGAGAGAGAAAGGGATGGACCATGAAGAGTACAGTATACTGACGAAGCGTCGTGAGCATCAGCAGGTTCGCGACCAGAAGGCGGAACACTTCCGGATATAGTTGGCGGGAAATTGGGATAATTGGAAAAGGATGAAGGACTCGAGTAATGATACAGGGCGTCATATTGATTAGCCTCTCAGGGCATTATACTTATTCACATCTTTCCAAGGGCCGCACAGACATTCGAGACATACAGTTACTTACCGTTGTAGCACAAGGCGGGACGCGAAGCTTCAATAGAGCAAGCCCGAAATTTGATGTTCAAGCTTCACCGTGGATGCTCGAGCTTGGGCTTGGGACTCCTTGCGAGAGCCTAGCGTGGTTTGGGGGGCTGCAGGGAGGGCTGACGCGCGCATGGCGGCGACCCACCGTACGAGAGCAGCTGGCTGCTGCGCTGCGCTGCTTCTGCCCTGCAGCTCCTGCGGCGCTGCGGCGGCGCTGCTCGAGCCGCGGTGGCGGCAGGCGCCCGCCCCTCGCCCAGCCGGAGCACCGCCCGGCCGCAGCGCGGGCGGCCTCGGGCGGCAAGGGCACCGCGGCGACCTCTCCGTCGGGCATGCCCCTGCACGGGAGGAGGCTCCCAAAGTGGTCGAGAGAAAAAGTGGTCTGGGCACAATTGTTCGACCGTGTTTGAATGTGCTTGAGTCTTTTTGCAATCATCTTCATTCTTCTGCCCAGAACCCGCCCGCAGGAGGACGTGCCCGACCCAAGACTATCTCCAGCAAGCGGGAAGAGCCGACCGCCCAAGGATCGAGCCAATGACGCGGCAAGGACCCGAGGACAAAGCGCCGCGCCAACCAGGAGGCCGCAGTGTCGGCATGGCGCCGTGCGCCGCCGAGATGCTGAACCCACCGCCTGGGTCGGGCCCCGGCAGCGTCCAGCAGCGCCCCCGGTCATTCTCGCGCCTGCGACGTACGCTGACGCGCGGGAGACTGCCCAGGATTACCAGCCTGGAGCATATCCTCATCCCTATGCTGGGCATCTCCTCATCACGATGCCAATTTTAGGGAATGCCAATTTTAGGGATTTCCTTATTTTTTGAGGGCGCATCACTAAGATTGTCATCGCCTTTTGGCGTGTCAATCTTAGGGATAGGGATAAGTTCGAGGCTGGTAACAGGAGGCGGACGTCGTGATGCCTCCGCGGCGCGAGCCCGAGCAGGGCCAGGACGCGCGGGCCTCCGGGTGGAGCTCTGGCGGCCGGCAGGGCTGGCGCACGGCTGGAGCGAACTGAAGGAATCCCTAAGATTGGCATCGTGATGAGGCGATGCCCAGCTCAGGGATAGGGATATGTTCCAGGCCGATCAGCAGCTGGGTTCCGCGGTGACCTCGCGCGCGACAGTTGGCGCTGAGGAAGGGCGTCGCGCGACCGTGCCACTGGCGTCCTGGAGCGCGGCAGCGGCGCGGCGGCGGGCGAGGGGCTCGGGCTCGAGATGCCGCGCGCCCAGCGGCGCGCCTCCAGGGCTTGCTGCGGGGGCCAGCACGGCTGGCATCCGTCCGCGCGTGGAGTCCCCGAGCCGGATCGGCCGCGGGGGGAGTCGTTAACCAAGGCCCCCATCGCTTGTTTTCGTTGCCGCCGCCGCCGTCCCGCTTGTCATGGGCTTCTGGCGTCGCCGATGGCGACGGATTGAGTACTTCTGGCGTCGTCGATGGCGACGCCTTCTGGCGTCGCCGTTGCCGCCGCCGCCGCCGTCGCCGATGGCGCCGGCGGCCGCAGCCGTCTGCGCAGCACTCAGGGCAAAGAGCGCGCGCGCCCGGCCTCTCTTCAGTCCGCCGGCCGGTTACGTGCACATCCGGTGCTTGCGCGTACCCGCTTCACGGAACATCCCTTACTTTGCCACGGCGTCCATATGGAACCATGCCATGGCGATTGGTAAGACCATCCACAACATATTTGCCCCTCAGCATGAAGATCCCCGGTACGGGAATGGATAGGCATATGTTTTTCGGGGAGGGGGGAAGCGCACGTGCTAGCGACGAGAACACGATCGCAGTATGTCTTGCATTGCCTTTTTTTGAATTGCATGTGTTCCTGCATTGCCGCTTTCTGTTGCGTTTTAGGGGCGCCTGGCTGGCTGTTCTGGCTGACCGGTCGGGCTGGTCTGCTTCGGTGGTCTGGCTGGTCGACTTGATCAGGCCAGCTTGATATGTTTAGTCTCGTCCGGGCTGATCTGCTTTGGGAACGTCCTTTCGGGGACTTCGGCAGGCGGGGGATATGGATATGCTCGGTCCCTGCTGGCCCCACGTCCCCTCCCCCTTCCCGCCGCCATCTTAGTATAGGGTGGAGAGTCACGTCAAAGGCCCGATCTCGACGGCCCTTGCGTCCTGCCTTCGTATCGGTTGGTCCCTTGGGACTGTCATCTGCAGATTGAAGACGGCTCGTGGCGAGGTCCTAGAATCAAGCGAAGCGCACCGTCGGACGATTCAGACAATCGCCACGCAGGTTGTCCAGCCCCCACTTCGCCCCGATCTTTCACACCCCCTGCTCGCCCCCATTTGCCACCCCTGCTCAGCCCAGCCGTCGGCCGCCAAAGACTGGGCGGCCTTACGCCGGGGGACGGCAAGATGCCTCGCAGCGGGTGGATACTGGGATCGAATTCGTAAGGTCAAGGCGGGGCTCGTCGATGGCCCCTTGTGCGAATTGTGTGGCCTCGAACGGAGGGCTGCGGGGAATGGGGGACGGGGGATATTGTGTCTGGTCACTTGGGTGTTTTCTGCGAAACTACCTGCTGCCCCCCTTGCTTGGCTCTGGCGAGCGCGATCGCAAAACTTTGGCATTGTGGTGCCACGGTCTCCTCCCGTCGCGTGGCGTTTGCGTCCCGCCCAAAGGCTTCAGGTGCGCTGGGAGGTGAAGCCTTCGCGGGGCCACCTGGAAGGCGGGGCCTTGGGCCACGGGTCCTGCGGGTCCATTATCGCGTCCTGGATGGTCCGTGGTCCAAACTTCGGGGGGCGGCCGAGATATCCCAGCGTCGGTGTGCGGTCCCTTTCCCTGGGTTACTCCAGGGAATCTAACTCCTCCTGTTGCCCGGGCTGTTTGCGTTTCGAATATAACTCCTCCGCGTCTCGCTCGGGCCCTTTCGCTACCTGTCCGACTGGGAATGGATGATCTCGGGTTTTAAGAAAGCCCGCGTGGCCACGACGGGCAGCATGTGCACGTGCCCCGACCTGTAGGGACGGGTGTGGGTGCGCGTGGACGACGTCGGGGAGGTGTTGAAGTGATCAAAGTCAATGGTCACGCGCTTATGCGCGACGACCACCTGCCATCACACGCCTGGTTTTGGCGATTCGGTAACAAGTTCGCTGGTTAGCGCGCTGAGCTCGGAGCGCCCAGGCATCTTCAGAATATGCAGGCGAACGGTTGAATGTTGAAGTCTGCCAGCCTGTCCTCGGATGTGTGCAAGTACATGCGAGCTGTCGGCCCTCTTGCTGTCGGCTCTGAATGTCGAGACCCCGAAGCGACCTCGGCCGCCCCCGCGGTTCACGGCTGATGAAGCGGCCCCCGCAAGAGTGCACAACGTAGTTGGGCGGTTGAGGATGTCGCACTTAAGTAAGTCGTCATTATTACCATTCTGGCAGATTGCAGTTCGACAAACATGGAAACAGCGCATTCGTAATATTTTACCGCATCAATGAATAGTCTTGGAGACGGCAAGGGGCCAATGTAAGTTACATGCTCCGAAGTAAACAGGTGGTTGCAAGTCGTAAGCCATGTGAAACACAAAAGACACCGCCATGTACTTACACCCGGCGCTCCCCAAGTAGCGTACATTGACCTACATTTAATCGTTGAACTCGTTGGAAGCATTGGTTTTTCAGGTTGTGGGGTCGGAGCGAACTCTATACTACTGAATTCGGTGACGGGCATCATTGTTTATGAGACATGTGTATCACAGAGGACCGCGCCATGTACTTTGTGGCGGTGGGCCCCTAGTAGCAGCTTACATGGACGTAAACCAATGCGTTAAACTTGTTGAAACCATTGGTAGTTGGATTTGTGGGGTCGGATCGAACTCTGTAATCGTGAATTCGGTGACGGGCATCATTATTTATGAGAGATCCTCACCCAGCAGGGCATACAGTCAACCCGCATAGTGAGGATTGGCTACCTTCCTGAGGGTGCCCTTGCATCGTTGCCTCCTCGGTCAATCCTTGGCCACTTTCGTTGGCCGAGCCCCGCTCGCAAAGCTTCGGAATGGGCTTCCAAGGCCCTTGCATCCTTATCGCGCATCCCTATCATACTGGTTGACTGTAGTGCAGCTTGCGGGTACGCTGCGATGCGAGAGGTGCCCACGCGAAGCCCAGGCGGCCAAGGCGCTTAGGCAGGCCACGCGCCGGCCTGCCGTAGGCCATCGCCTCTGGTGCGTTGGCCCGCTGACCTTCTGCAGTTCATGTAGAGCATGCTCGTGCGATAGTACCCAGCCCCTGGCGTTAAGTCGTCGTCTTGCGTGCCGAGTCGCCATTTGGACGGCGAGACACCGCCTGCTCGGAGCACGCTGCGACGCGGCGGTGTCCGCGGGTATTGTGGTCTGTCTGCGCAGTCCTCAGATGCCGCTGAAGCCCCGCCACGGTCAAGGAAAACAGGACGGCGGAAGAGGGGGATGTTGATTGAGGGTCAGGAGTAGGTGGAGGAGGGTGAGGGAAGAGGTGCTGGATGTGGAGGTGTGGGGGGAGGGCTCAGAGGAGCACGGATATGGTTGGAAGAGGAAAATGAAAAAGAGGACGAGGATGTGGAGACGCAGGGGGAGGAGGACGCAAAGCATTGATGACGGGGGGAAGCAGAGGCAGTGGTGGAGCATCGAGAAACGGAAGCAATGGGCGACGGTGCGTTCGCACCATATGCTGTATCACGCCTTCCAAAGAGCACATCGATTCCCAATGTGGCTTCATCACATGATGAGCGATCACACAGTGAAGGTGCGGATCTAAGAACAAGTGTTTGGTCATGAGGGGGTTTGGTTTTCGGGCTGTTCCTTAGGTCTACATCGGTGAGCCGGTTCGAGACCGAGATTTTCCGTCGCGAGGGGAGTTCTTGGGTTCCTCATTCGGTTTTCTTTATGACAGCACGATGGTTGTACGGTGGAGGGGAGGGGGGCTCCGTACAGTCGGAGGCTGTGGTTTTTATCGAGTACGAGAACGCGCTAACAGAGCAGGACGACAATTCGGGAAGGCCAACCGTTACAGAGGCAACGTGAGAACCAGGAGGAGGAGGAGGAGGAGGAGGAGGAGGAGGAGGAGGAGGGGGAGACGGACGGGGGTGGCAGGGCGTGGATGGCTACGCCAATAAAGTAACCGGATACGTGAGCGTGGCCAGCGAAGGGTCGAGAGGGCCATACGGACGGACGGGCACAACGCGTTGATCTTGTGATGTGGTCAGCGGACCAAGCGGAGTACCATTTTCGGAAGGATTGGGAGCGTTCATATCGAAAAGGCAATTGTACATACCACATACCATGACACTAAGCGTTCTCAACCAGTTAGCAGCAGAGGTGGGAACATGCTGTCGCAGTAGTTTGGCGTAGTTGGCGTGAAAACGGACAGAAGAGGGATGTAAAGAGCAGGAGATGATGGAGGAGCCGGATGACAAGAAGTGGAGATGAGGAACATGAGGATGAGGACGTGAGAGGGGATCGATGAGAGAGTGGTGGGGAGGAGGAGGAGGAGGAGGAGGAGGACGAGGACGAGGAGGAGGAGGACGAGGACGAGGATGAGGAGGAGGCATACAGCCGAGGCAGGAGGAAGCAGGAACGACTTGGAAACTTCCCAAGGTCGACAGGGTGAATTTCATCGCCGTCACCAGCCCGGCCTACGAGGGCGCGTTCCGATTCGAGGCGGCATCGGGTATCGCCGGCGGGCGTGCAGAATCGCCTCGCGCGCTTTTTCCCGTTACATGTCGAGCCTGTCGAGCTTTCCCTCACCACCCATTCAGCCACTGCGAGTGCCACGCGAGTCTCGCTGCGATCGATCGAATTCATACCACTGCTACCGCGAATACGGGGACTACCACTACTGCTACCCTGGCTACTACCACCACAACCAATGACACCCTTACTACGACTGCTACTACTACTGCTACTCTTACTACTCGTACTACCACTACTCTTACTACCACTACTCTGACTACTCTGACTACTACGACTACTACTACTACTACTACTACTACTACTACTACTACTACTACTACTACTACTACGACGGCGACTACCACTATTACTACTACAACTAAAACTGCAACTACCACTAGTCACACTACCACTACTAACAATAATAACAATACTTATATTATTACTACTGCTACTGCTGCTACTACTACTACGACTTCTCTTATTACTACTGCGACGTCGATTACGACTACGAGTAGTCTTAATATTACCATCTTTTCTACGTCTGTCATTCGTACAATTACGGCTACCACGACTGTATTACCACCACCACCGCTATTACTACTAATACTACTACTACGACGACGTCGACTGCTACTACTACGGCTCCTACAACTACTTCCAGTGCGGTTACTACCACTACGACTATCCCTACTACTGCGACTACTGCGGCACTACGACTATGACTACGACTGCGACTATTCAGAGTACTATTTCAATTACTACTACGACGACGACTTCTATTAGACTGCTACTACTACCACTACTACTACTACTACTACTACTACTACTACTACTACTACTACTACTACTACTACTACTACTACTACGACTACTACTACTATTTCGACTACTACGTCTACTATTACTTTTACTACAACAACACATGTTTTTTACTACCACGACGGCTATTGCCGGTACTACTATTCCTAGTGCGATCGTTCCTGCGAATACTACTACACCTACTACGTCAATTATTGCCACCACTAGTGTTACTACTACTATTGCGATTATTACTACTACTACTACTACTACTACTACTACTACTACTACTACTGCTCCTACTACTACGACTACTATCCCTAGTCCTAGGATTATTGTTACCCCTACGACTACTACAGCAACCTCTACCACTATCAGTATTGCTATCGCTACTACTCGTACCCGTGCCACTACAACTTGAACTATTTATATCATTGCTACTTCGATTGCGACGGCTACGGCCACTAACACGTTTATTTCAGCTCTTCCGACTAAACGTGCTACTGCCACTACTTCGACTACTACTACTGCAACAACAACAACAACAACTACTACTACTACTACTACTACTACTACTACTACTACTACTACTACTGCTACTACTGCTATAACTACGACTAGTATTGCGTTGGTTTACCCGGTTCAGGTACTGAATACGTTCAATTGTCCGTTATTCTCAAGTAGTGCCAGTAGCACTACAAACATTAGTGCTACTACTACTGCAACTCGTAAAACCAATTCGCATTCGGTGCCGAAGGTGCCCCCTGCTTGTTTTCCCGTGTTGTGGGTGCTTCGCAATGGTTCCCTGTAGCGCATTTGGGGTGTTGCCACGCTTTCTGGGCGCGGCTCGTGAGGCTCACGGGCACCAGTGTACCGCGTTCAGTGTGTTCTTGTCGCTGTTGGAAGAAGTCGTCTGCCGTTTACTACAGGGTTGGTTGTTGCCATTTTTGGGACATTGGATACCCTCTCTCGTTCTTTCCCCTCTTACAAGTGTTCCGTCTCCTTTTGTGAAGATGAAATGTTTAGTGATGGTGATGCAATTCGATATGCCCGCGACCGTCGTCAATCAAATTTCGACGCGAATTGCACTCTACATGTGATTATAGGCAATTGTTTCACGGTTGATCTGAAACAGGGTTTTTGGGAATTCTTTAGTTGTGTTGCGTTCGCTTCGACCCCAAGGGTCTTATGGTTGTGAACATGTTTTCCTCATGTGTCTCAAGCGCTTTTGATTGCCATCGCGCTTGTGCATTTGCCGTAAGACACTTGGACTTCAGTGCGATGGGTGAAGCCCGACAGCATGATTCCTCCCCTTTCATCCCACGCCGAGCGTCGATTTTGCTAAAGATGTGGTCCGGGAGCTACGCTGTCGGCGGCGATGGGATCGCCCACTACATGTCCTGCCCCAGCGCGAGTCCCCGCGCCCGCGAGTTCCTTGCGAGCTTGCCGCAGGGGCGCGGTGATGCTCCCATCGCCTCGTCTGTCTTATTGCAAGGCTCGCTCGCTGTCTCCGATCACCTCCTCAACATCCCTCGAGCCATTGATTAGGGGAACAAAAAGTGGCATAAACATAAAAACTCGGAGCTCCGCGCGGATTTCTCGGATCGGCGCTGGACCCCCCTCCCTGGCGCGCGGAGCGCGCCAGGGGCGGCGCCGGAGGCGCCGCCAGGGGGGTCCAGCGCCGATCCGAGCAATCCGCGCGGACCTCCGAGTATTTATGTTTATGCCACTTGTTGTTCCCCTATTGATACTCTTCGCGCTACCCTTCACCTGCGGCGCACCGCACGGTCGTTCGGTGTGTGCGTTCCGCCCGTCTGCTGCTCCTGGCACTTTTGTCCGTGCCCAAGTTCTACACGCAGCCTCGCGGCACACCGCCTCGTCCGAGCAGCACGAGTCGAGGGCTCCTGGCTGGGGTCGGAGCAGATGGTGTCGGAGGATCGCGCCGCATCGCCGAGGCATCGCCGAGGCGGCTCGATGTGGAGCCCGATTTGCTTCACGTCGACGTCGCCGATGCATCGCCCCCGTCGACGATGTATCGCCAATGTATGGGCGATGCGGCGCGATCCTCCGACCCCATCTACTCCGACCCCATCTCGGAGGTCTCTAACGAGGCGAGCAGCAAGGATGAACTGTTTCAGGCCGGGCCAGGCCTCATGTCTTTTCGAACCCCCTTCTGCTGTTTGCTCGTCGTGTTCCCGAACCGCCTAACATCCTCGCTCTCCCATTTCCTCCTCCTTCCTGCCCAAGCTCACCCGCGATTCCACTGTGGCGCACCCCATCTCACGTTTCGCGCCCCCCATCGAGAGCCAAATTGAAGACCCGAGCCCACCACCTATTTCGGCGCACCCTTCAGATGGGCCTGGCCAGGTCGGCGGCGAGCGGCGAGGGGGGGGGGAGGGAAAAGGGGCGGGCTTTCTCGGCAGGCTCGGAAGTCTCCCGGCAGTCTGAGAAGTGTCTAAGCCTCCCGCGGCGATTGTTGTAACAACGAAACAGAAACGTAACAACCAAATTAAACCTCTCGGAAGGCGCGAGGGCTTCTGAGAAGTCTCGCCGCCTTCTGAGAAGGCCTTCTCTCCTTCACACTCTCCCTCCCACCTGCCGCCAACCGAGTGACCTCCGCAGCTGGCGCCCGCCGACCAGAATCCCTTCCTAAGCTTGCCCCTGGACCCCCCCCCGGGCCCCCTCCCGGCGTTCTCTCCCGAGACGCGTCGGTCCGCCGCGACGGGGGTGGCGCCTTGCGTTCGAGGAGGGCGACGAGGACGCGTCGCGGTTTCGGAGGAGTCCGCAGTCTCAAGGCTCGAGGTGTCCCGAGGAGGGGGGGTCGTTCAGAGGAGGGTGACGACCGTGGAGGGGACGAGGAGGAGGGGGAGGAGGGAGGAGGAGGAGGAGGACGAGAAAGGGGGGCGGAGGAGGGAGGGAGGGAGGGAGGGAGGCGCGAGGGGAAACATTGAGATGTGCAGTGGGGAGGACTAGCTGCGCTGGTGCAGCCCCGTGCCCCCCCCCCAATCCGCGAGGCCGCCTACCGGAAGGGCTACTTCCTGACCTTCCTGCCGCCCACGCACCTCCGCGTCATCCCGTGGGAGGCGCCGCGGGGCCGCGCCCATGTGCCGTGGGCCGCGCGGGGTGTTTTTGGCTGTCTGATGTCAGCTCTGCCCCTGGCCCTTGGCCCTTCCTCTTAAGTCGGGCCTGTCCCTAGACAGGAGGAATATCAAAAGATAATAATAAACAAATAGTCAGGGGACCTTTGCTTGATTGTTCTTCGACTATGTTTGAGTATGTTTGATTATTCTTATTGCGACGGCCTTATGGCCGGTTCCGCCGACCCTGAATGGGCCTCTTGGGGCTTCCTGGGGGTCTCTTGAGGGCTTCTGGGGGTCTCTTGAGGGCTTCTGGGGGCTCCCTGGGTGGCCTCTTAGGGACCTCTGGGGGCCTCCTGAGAGCTTCTCATGCCGAGGGCTCGAAATGTCCGTTCGGGTCCCCCGTCTGGGCTCCACCTTGGAGCTGCTGTCTTGGGGGCCTCTTCGGCTGTCTTGCAGGCCCCTTAGTCGGTCTTGGGGCCATCTTGGGTTGTTTTGGGGCTTTCTTGGGGGCCTCTTGGGCCATTTTTGGGCGGTCCTGGGGGTTTCTTGGCCTGTCTTGGAGCGTCGGGAAACTGACAAGGCGAGAATGCCGAAATCTTTCAAAAACTTACGGGGAATCGATGATTTTGCCCCTTGGGACCCTCTTGGAAGTCCTCTTGGAGGCCTCCTGGGGCGTTTTGGAAGCCTTCTAAGCTGTCTGGAGGCTACTTTGGCGACTTGGACCGAAACTGTGGCGATTCGGGCCCCTCGAGGACCGTCTTAGGAGCATCTTGGGCCAGTTTTACCACGTCCTGTGGCTTTTCTTGGGGGGGCTTGTTACGTCGCCCTCGCCAGTCGTGGCGAACATCGAAGACAAGGTAGACGAGCTCGGCTGCATGACCAAGTGGAACTCAAGACCCGTGTCCAAGAACACGCGCGGTGAACCCGCAGAAGCAGTGGCGACCACGTCAAATTGCGCGAGGACCACGACGCTATGGTCGAGTTGGCAACCCGCCCAGAGCGCGGGCAGCGCAGAGGCCGTGCACGAAGGCAACGCCAATGCGCCGAGTCGCGTAGCGGCACGGCGTCCCCGAAGCAGGCCGCATATTTTGTCGACAAAGGAAAAACGTTTCGAGCAACAGTGACGAATACACCAGCAACGTTGTCCAAGGGCGGGATGGCTGCAGCACGCAGTGGACCGAGCTGCTGCGCCAAATGGACGCCGTCGAGCAGCTGATTTGAAGCAGTAGGATTCTCTAGTCGTTCTCCGCCGACGTGCCAGTTCTTGCGGGACGGCAACCTGCCGAGAGCCCAAGATGCAGAGCGGTTGCTCCTCCGACCTTTTCCAGCAGCAAGACCCAGGCGGTCATTTCGAGGAGAACGAGCCGCTCGGAAAGCCCGAAGGTCCTTCGACGACGACAAGCACTCCGACAAGCTGGGGAGCCTCGTGCAGCCACTAATTGGACGCAGGCGGACCGGAGTATAACATCGAGGTCGGCTCGGGGAGCGTACCATCGTGTTCTGCGTGTTTATTGAATGCTCTTGTGCGCCCTGGGGAGGGTACCCTTCGATGTTCTGTTTGCTCTGGCCGAGTGAGGGCTTCAGTTTCTTGAAGGATGTTCTGTTGGCCCGGGTCCGACTGTGTGTGCGGGTTCTGGAGCGGGCTGCCCACTGCGCGATGGGCGCCCACGGGCCGGCGGATGAACAGGTCCACTCCGCCGTGAAGCAAATTGACGAATCCGCTTGCCTTCGTCGGAAGTTGATCGAGCTCGTCAGGCGCACGACGTGCACGCAAAGTTTCTGAAGGGCCTGCCAGACTTTATGTTCCCGCGTGCCTCCTACTTCGATATTGGAGTATGCGCGCAGAGGCCCGAATCGGGGGGCACGTTGGCTAGTGTTGTTTTCCCTTGGTGGTGGCTTCGTTTTGAGTCTCCAAGCCCGGTCGTGTCGACAGGCTCGGCGTTCACGGGCGCGAAGATGCTCGCCGATTCGGATGTTTATTTTCGATGCACTTTTACGATGGCGCAGCGGTGCTATCCGAGATGTGGGATGGGCAATGGCTTGTTGAGCTGTCCATGCTTGCGACCTCCAGGTTTGTTCCTGCTGGGGTCGATGCGAAAATATTGTTTTTTGTCGATCGTGCTGACGTTCCAGACACCGTTTTTCGTCTGTTCGGCGCAGGTCGTTCACCTGCGTCTTCCCTTTGGACGCTTCGGCAACCTGTCAATCTCCTGGGCAGAACTATTATCTTCTCCTCCGTTTTTCCCTCTTTCCCCGACGGCGGTGCGCATCGGCGCTGGTTTTTTGTGGGCCCCTGGTCTGGCGGGCAGTTTTCTTTTTCGCCTCTCCACCTTATCGTCGGGGAAGCGGAGCGGGAGGATCGGGTGTGGGTGTCGTTTGTCGACGACGGCGCGTTTCGGCGCCGTCGATCGGGTTTCTGTCTGTTCCTTTTCCTCATGATGCTTGGTTCCCCCGTGGGGCCCAAGGATACTTCCGTTCGAAGGCAGTGCTAGAGCGTGCAGTATCGATCGTTTCGCACCTAGGCCATGCCGCGCGGGTTCCGTGGCGGCCCATTCTTTTTCTCGGCGGCCCCGGCCCCGCGGGCAAAGGCTGGCGGGGCGAAGGCAGTTGGGGCGCGCAGGTGATGTGGGGTTCGTCGCGCGAGTTCTCCTCATCATCAAGTGAGGGGCAAATGACCGACGCTTTCAAGCGCCGCGTTTGAAAGAGCGCCACCAGCTTCAGCCGGGGGGCAGTTCCGGATGCCTCGAGCAGGAAGCGCACATAGGGAGAAGTTGGCGACAGCGCCCTCATGGGCAAGTTTGAGCGACGGCTGCAGGGGCTGGGCGCGAGAACGCCCCCGTTCCCCCAGACCCCCCGGGGGGGGCAGCGGCGGAGACGGGGATGACGCACTATCGCCAGCAGCTCGATGGCAGCTTCAATCTCGACAGGCCTGCGACGCGCTGCAGGGCGAGCCGCGCGGCCCATGACCGGCGCGCGCCTGACGGGCAGGCGGTGGAAGCTGCCATGCCAGTCTGGGCGACCTGGAGCTCGTCGAAGCCGCGCGTGGTAAATATTTGGATTAGGTGGAATAGATGGCAGACGGAAACAATGTGTCCCCCGTGCTGACCAAACTCCCAAATGCCCGATCTGTCGGCGTCGCAGTGGAGCCTGCGCGGAAGAGGCGCGAGACCAATCCTGGTTCCACGGCCTCAGCGGCCACGTCCAGCTCGGCGCCCGGCTTCGGACATCGACGCCACGGGGCCCATTGAATTACGCGTGGACGCGGAAGGCTCCGGGGGCGAAACAGCTGCGCCGAGGAGGACGAGGAGGAGAACGCGTCGACAGCAGGAGTCGGCGGTAGGAGTGCCTCAGCCCAGACGGCCCTGCAACCTGAATCGGCGACCCCCCCCGCGCGCCGCTTATAGGCGCGATCGAGGGGGGCGCTGGCGGAGTCAACTGCCGCGCGTCGCTTCGCAGTAGTAACGGTGACCTCCGTGGCCCTCGTTATTTCGCGCAGAAGCAATCGAGTTGGCGCGCGGGGATGCCGCGGCCCATTCGGCCCCGCCCACGCGCCGACCTTTGCTCGCGCGCGCCGGGGGGGGGGTCTGGCAGCATCGGCTGGGGCGACGCTCAGTCGAGACACGAGTTGATCAAATGCTTGAGTGGGCGGGCGACGCGCCAGCGCCCGCGGTCGCGGAGAGAGCGGCGTCGTGATCTTTCGCAGTTGCAGCTCCGACACCTGGCCCGTTGTCCAAGGCTTCGAATGGCTGGCGCCAGGCTTGGGCGCGCGGGTGGGCGCTGTCTCTGTCAGGGAGCGCGGGTTGAGATCTGCCGACGAGGTCAGAGCAGCTCAGTCGCGGGGCCGCCAGCGCGGGCCCCTGCTTCGCGCGCGCAGAGCCCCCCCTCAGTTCTGGCCGCCCCCGTCCGAGGATGAGAGTGTGCAGTGGGCGACTTCTGGGAATCCCCCTTTTCTGGTTTTTGTTCCATTCGCGCCAATAGTTGTGTCGGATTTTCTTGGAGGCAGAAGATTGCTGAACGCGCGCGCGTCGCGCGTCGCGCGCGCCGGCGCGGGCTGTTGGCAATTTGAAAGTCGAGGCGATTTGTTTCGGCCGCGTTATAAGATTCGCGCGGGTTCCCTCCATTTGCCGGGCGACGGGTCGGCGCGCCCCCCTAGGGCCGTGTTCCGCGACGCACGCCGTGAGTTTTGCATTGTCAGCGGCGTTTTATGTCCTTTCGTTCAGAGTAGTAACGTTTTGGATGCACTTTTGCTCGGGTCCGCAGGGCGGTCTCTTTGTGTCTCGGGGGCTTCGGGGGGGCGTACATTGGCTTCGCGGGCGTCGCGCGGGGGCCCTTGCCGCGCCCGCCAAGAGGGCTCCCGCTCCTCTCGGGCAACGTTTCATCGCGGCGAGGGCCCGATGCCATTCGGGGGAGTCGGCGGGCAGTCTGGCGCGACGCTCGCCCTGCGCTGCCAGGCGCCGCCCGCGCTACTGTCTCGCCGAGCTGCGAGGCAATCGAGGCAGACGCCCCCCTCTGGGTCGCGGGGGGGGGGGCTACGGAAGCGCCCGGCCTGCGATTGATCGGGCTCTGACGCGAGCGGCGACGGCGCGGCATAATCAACTCCGAGAAATGCGGCGACTTACGCTCGGGCAATTCGAATTCCGACTGCTCAGCCGCCGCCGTCGATTCGCCGCCGCGGCGTGCCGTTTCGCCGGGCGCCGCGGCGCCTCGGGGCGTCATTGTCAACGTCGGGGGTCCTTCATGTCTCCCTCGCCGCTCCTGATTGCCTACGTCCCCCGGCCACTCGCCCCCCCCCTGTCTTCCTTCCCCCGTGGGCAGTCCTCCGCGCGGGGCTGGCTGATCTGTCTGGTCTGGCGGTCCCAGTGGTTGCTCCTGCAGTCCAGCTGGTGTCGACCAGCTTCGCGTGGGCGGGGCGGCTTTGGTTCGTCTGGGTGGCCGGGTAACCGCTGCTCCCGCGCGTCGGGCCAGCGCGACGGACCTCGGCTGGTTCTCATTGCCCAGCTACT